AACCGTACTTTGCTTGAGAAAGTCCGGTGTATGTTGTCTAATGCTGGTTTAGGCAAGGCGTTTTGGGCTGAGGCGATTACTTATGCAAGCCATCTTATTAATCGGTTGCTGGCTACTGCGAACGAGGGCAAAACGCCTATGAAGGTATGGTCTGGTAAACCTTATACTGATTACAAGTATTTACACATATTTGGTTGTCTTGCTTACTATCATGTCAGGGAAAGCAAGTTGGATCCAAGAGCAAAGAAAGCTCTATTTATGGGCTTTAGCACTGGCGTGAAGGGATACCGACACTGGTGTCCAGATGAGAAGAAATTTGTTGTAAGCAGAGATGTGACTTTTGATGAGGCTGCTATGGTTAATTAGAACAAGCATGAAGATGAAATTGAAGCAACCAAGACCATGAGCAGTTCAAAGCAGGTGGAGTTCTTGAAGACTCCAGTTGTTCCAGTAAGGTCTGATGTTACAGACACTAGTCCTACAGTTAATTCTGATGATGAGGACGAGGATGATAAAGAGGAGGCACCTACCCAAGAGCCTCCACAGCAACAAGATTTTATTGCAATCAGAAGACAGAGAAGGGAAATTAGGAAGCCTGCTCGGTTTATTGATATTATGGCATATGCACTTCCCGTTATTGAAGATGATATTCCATCCGCCTTCAAAGAAGCTGTCAGAAGTTCAGAGAACGTGGAGTGGAAGAAATCTATGGATGAGGAGATGAAATCTCTTCATAAAAATGAGACTTGGAAGCTGGTTCAGTTACCAAAGGGGAAGAAAGCAATTGGGTGCAAATGGGTGTATGCCAAGAAGATGGAATCTTTGGGAAAAGACAATGTAAGATTCAAAGCCAGATTGGTAGCTAAAGGCTACGCTCAGAAGGAAGGCATTGACTACAACGAGGTATTTTCTCCTGTAGTAAAACATTCTTCTATTCGTATTTTGTTGGCTTTGGTTGTACAGTTTGACCTCGAGTTAGCTCAACTTGATGTCAAGACGGCGTTCTTACATGGTGATTTGGAGGAAGAAATTTATATGTCTCAGCCAGAAGGTTTTAAGGTTGCTGGCAAGGAAAATTGGGTTTGCAAATTGCAAAAATCATTGTATGGCTTGAAGCAGTCTCCAAGACAATGGTACAAGCGATTTGATAGGTTTACGATCGGGCATAAGTACACAAGAAGTCATTATGACCATTGTGTATACTTTCGCAAGCTACAAGATGGATCCTTCATTTATTTGCTTTTATATGTTGATGATATGCTGATAGCATGTAAGAGCAAAGTGGAGATTGAAAGGTTGAAGACTCAACTGAGTAATGAATTTGAGATGAAGGACTTGGGAGAAGCTCGGAAGATACTAGGTATGGAAATTGAAAGAGATAGATCGAAGGGCAAGATTAGTCTGTGTCAGAAGCAGTATTTGAAGATGGTACTACAGCGATTCGGGATGAATGAAAATTCAAAACCGGTTAGTACACCTCTTGCCCCTCATTTCAAACTTAGTGGTTCTATGTCTCCTAATACTGATGAGGAGAGTCATTACATGGCTCAAATTTCATATGCAAGTGCTGTTGGTAGTTTGATGTATGCTATGGTGTGTACTAGGCCTGATATTTCACAAGCTGTTAGTATTGTCAGTAGATATATGCATAATCCAGGAAAAGGGCATTGGCAAGCTGTGAAATGGATTCTACGGTATATTCTGGGTACTGTGGATGTTGGTTTATTGTTTCAGCAGAATAAAGATTCTGGTCAATGTGTTGTTGGATATGTGGATTCTGATTACGCAGGTGATTTGGACAAGCGTAGGTCCACTACAGGTTTTGTATTCACAATTGCTGGAGGTCCAGTGAGTTGGAGGTCGATTCTGCAATCTACTGTTGCTTTGTCGACTACTGAGGCTGAATACATGGCAGTAACAGAAGCTATTAAGGAAGCCATCTGGCTTCAAGGGTTGCTTGATGACTTAGGGGTTCAACAGGACCATGTGGATGTTTATTGCGACAGTCAGAGTGCTATTTATTTAGCAAAGAATCAAGTTCATCATACACGTACGAAACACATTGACGTGAGGTTCCATTTTGTTCGTGAAATTATTGAAGAGGGAGATATTCTTCTTGAGAAGATTGGAACCACCAACAATCCTGCAGATATGTTGACGAAACCAGTTTCGTTGCTCAAGTTTAAGCATTGCTTAGACTTGATTGGAATTTGTAAACTTTGTTGATTGCCCCGTGGGGGATTGGGAGACGACTATTGGGAGTGCTACTTGGTAAATTTGTGCCAAGGTGGAGATTGTTGAAATTGGCTCAAATTGCACCCACGTGTGTTGATGGTTTCTTCATGATGGCTGCCACACTAGCCATCACATGGCCAAAGGAAGAATTGTGTCAGCCGACCAAATATTGTGGGAGGATGCTGTCAAGTGGAGGC